ATTTTCATGATTCTTTTTTTGTTGGAAAGGGGGTATTTCCATAGTGGTCCCATTTCATTTTGAAGAAAATCATCCACCTCGAAGGGTGGCTGTTCGCGCATGAAGATTCATTTTTATAAATAGCGCCTAACTTTAATTTAGGAGCAATAATTTTAATGGTTGATTTTGCTATTTCTCCAATTCAAGGCGTTTCTCTCTCGATATACTTTGAGTAGTGAGAACCGATTTTTATTATCTCCAGTGTCAAGTCCTGTATAGTGGCAAACTAGGGGATATTTCAATAAAAACTTAGCAAATAGACGTAATTCCACGTACTTTTGAGGTCGGTTTTTTTAGTACTCTGTACTGAGATTATGACGTATGATCACAAGTGGCTTTGTTAGGTATCCTGTATTATAGGTATACTTTTAAAGCGAAAAGAGAATAAGTAAGTTAAGAGAATAATTTCGTTATTCAAACTAAGGCCTATGTAAAGGTGATTTGAGAATTTATATATCTTATTTCGTTACGGAAATATAAAATCGAACAACAGTCGATCTCACGTCCACAGCGAAGAACTAACGTACCACGTCCTGAGAACAAGTAGTCTTGCACATATGTCTTTGTTCTACGGATCAGGAAAACGGGTACGTCTTTCTAATTTGCCACCTAGTCTTAACATCTAACGCGTAACAGTTTTATATAAATTAAAGTTAAGAAAAAGGTCTAACGTAACTAAAGCTTTTTTCAGGATCAAGTAAAAGATTAAGAAGCCATGACACATTAAAGTACAGACCACGAAAGCAACCATAAGCCCAATATGTCACGTCAAATGTTGTCTTATAATACAGTGTAATGAAATGTTGCAAAATTCTGGTCTATTAAGTCCTCTACTTTTGTAAAAAAACACCTTTTGAAAAAACAAAAAAAAAAAAGATAGAAATATTCGCTGATTTCAATTATGTATACATATAACACGTGCATTTGACCCAAATATAGTCTGTTAGTCCTTTTTCCTTTCCAGCGTCTATATGTATAACTACTAAAGGTCGGAGTGCCCGAGTTTCAATCGTTGTTGTCATTCAGACAAAAAATGTTTCACAGCTATTTGACAAGCGATTCCGGACAGCAGGTTTCTTTTAATTTGTGCCCTGTATGTGGGAGTTGAATGTTGTTTACACTTCTATATTATGATTCCTGTTGATATTCAAAATTTGTTATTTACGAGATTTAAAACTATAGTGAAACAAAACTTTATTGGGCCGGTGTCATAATGACTATATCTTCAAAATGACCTGGTCAGTATAAGGACTAAATAGCAAAACGACCACCTTTGCAGAAAGACTATAATTTATAATCACTTGGTGTCAAAATGTCTATGGTACAC